GGGCGGCTGCTCATGACGGTCGCTCTGCTGTCCTCGTCCTTCCTCCCGTTGTCGTTGCGCGCCCGGGGCAGGTGGGGGTCCTTGGGCAGGGCCGGACCCCGAGAACCCGCAGGACACAGAGCCCCGAGCCGGGGGCTAGTCGCGGAGACCGTTTCGGGGGCCCCCGGGCTTGGGGGCGTCGCGCGCTGGGGTTTGGGCGCTCGCCTCCGCGGGGCGAGGCGCACAGACCGGCGCCATTTCGCGCGCCGCCCGCGGCTCGGGCGGTGGCGGCTGCTGCGCGCCAGGCGGGAGGAGCGGGGGCGAGGCGGCGGGGCTGGGGGGAGGGGAGGCCGGCGCACGGTCGCCCACGCTCCAGGCCTCCGCCTCTGTGGACGCCCCTGGCCCGGAGGCCTCGACGTCGAGCTCGGGCTGCGCAGCCGGCTCGAACCCCGCACCCGGGTCGGAGAGCCCCCGCGGGCACCAGGAGGCCTGGCTCCCCTCCCTCCCTCCCGCCAGCGCAGGAGCCAGTAGCAAAGGGCCACGGGGGCCGATCGGGGCCTCGAGGCCGCCCCCTGACCCCGGGTTGCACACCCGGGCCTCGGCGCCCAGGTCTGGCTCGAAAGCGCCCTTTGATAGTCGAGCCCAAGGCGCAGGGGCCCTCTTTGTCCCCACTTGGGGCGTGAGGCCCTCGTGGAAGCCACCGACGCTGGATCTGGTCGCACAGGGCACGCCCTCCAACCGGCGCTCTAGAGGCGGAGGTGGGGGTTGAGGCCTGGGAAAGCTGAGCTGGCTTTCCCCGGGGTCCCCCCCCAGGCGGAGGGCTCCCGGGTAAACATCGCTGGCCCCGGCTGGGGGAGGGGATGTGGACGGGGCGGGCCTTTGGAAATGCAGATGAGTCGCCTCCTGCTGCTGGTCGCCCGAGCTGAACCTTGGTGACTCAGCCACACACTCGCCCCCTCCCCCCCGCACACACACCCTTAACCATTCCAGAGTCAGGGCGCCTTGGCAGCTGGCGGGGGTGGGGGAGGGGGGCCTTAGGCGGGGGGCGGTGGCATTTGTAAGGATCCCCTGTCGTCGAGGAGATCCTGTCTGGTTAGTGGCCGTCAACTCCCTAACAAACCCTCCCACTTCTCCCCCCCCCCAACCCCCCAGGCTCTTGGCCAGAGAAGCGGTACCCCCAGAACGGACCGTCCTCCTCTGGACAGCAGGAGCAGGCCTAGTTTGACTCTGACAGTCCTACTAAGGTAGGTGTGCGCCCTTTCCCAACCGGCAAGGGAGATTTGGGGGTTTTTGGCCTGGAGCCCGGGGAGGGCGGACGCCTCAAACCGGCTAGGCTGGTTCCGCAGCCCCTCCCCCACACAGATGTGTAGGACTGTGTGTGTGAAATCGGCGGCCTGCTGGGCTGGGCCCATCCATCCCCGCCTGTCAAGCTTCTGTTGTCAGGAGTTTGGGGCCTGCAGTTCTCTGCCGTATTTAGTAGCACAGGAGAGGCGGCCCTGGCCAGGCTTTCCCAGCGGTGTTTTGTGGTGGGGGGAGGGCCCTGGATGCCTCTGAAAGTCTCCTCCGCTGCCAGGAAGCCCCGCCCTGCCCCTTCCTTCCTGCCCCGAGTCGGGGCGAGTGGGGTGACTGTTGAGCTGGCCTCTTCTCCTGCCGTGTCTGGCTGCCAGGGAGGTGAAGCACGGGACCTGCGGCCTGGGCAGCTTCCTTGAAGAGATTTCTTGCCTCTTCTGCTTCCTGGGAATTCCCACGATCTCCTTTGCAACCCCACAGCCAAACCAGCCCTGTTTCTAGAGTCCCACGAGCCGGCTAGCTACTTGCCTGCTGCTGCCTAGCGCAGGCTGCACAGTCTCTGGGCCCATTTGCAAAGTGGGGGTAGGTCGGCGATTCTCGAACTAGCTGGCTCCTGGAACTGATTCTGGGCCTGTCCTCGAGTTTCTGATTCGGTAGGTGGGGCCCCCAAGCTTGCATTTCTAACAAGCCCCCGGCTGGTGCGGATTCTACCATGTGGGAACACGTTTTGAGAACTTTGGGGCTAGGGAACACCTGGGGTGTTGTGAGGCCGAGAACTCGGTGCTTGGCACGGCGTCGCTGGCCTGGTAATCATGGCAACTCCTAATTCTCCCAACACCAGCTCTGTGCACGCTGTGTCCCACTTGCTTTGTCTCCGCGAAGCTCCACAGCTGGAGACCGTGTGGCCCTTGATCTTGGCCCCCTCCCCCAGGTGGTCTCTAGAGGGTGATGACTTTGATGAACCATTTGGGCCAGGTGCCTCCGATTGAACTGCCTCCCCCGCCCCCGTTTGGCTCCCAGCTTGGCTTCTGTATCCGTATCCGATCAGCCCTGCCCACTTTCACACCACCCCTCGGTGTGAGGGCTAGTCTGAGGTCTGGGGGAGCCTGGAGGGCTTGACCTGAGATTTTGTTGTGGGCACCTTGGTGCTGAAGCAAGGGAGGCTCTCCGTCAGGCAGCTGTCGGCTGGAGTCTCCACAGAGCTGGTGACCTTGGGCCAGTCTCCTGTGTAAAATGATAAGGATGCGTGCCGAAAGGGGTGTTGGGAGGATTAAGTACGATTAAGGGGGCCGGCCGCACGGTGAGGCTTCACACTGGTCGGCCTCCATTCCGATGTGGCTGGAGGGAGTGGAGGCCGGGCTGCCTTCCAGCTCCGCCCCCACCGGCCCACCCCGAGCACGTGGCTGAGCCTCCGGGCAAAGGGGAAGGCTGGGAGGCAGCGTCATTCTTCCTCCTGTGTAGTTTGAGTCAGGATGGTGGCTTACCCCTCCCCTTCCATGATCAGTCATGATTTGGGGGGGGGGGGGTCGCAACCCCCCCACTGGAGTATAAATTACTCAAGGTCAGGAGGTCACCACAGGCAGCCAGGACGGGGTTCCAGGTGTCTTGACTAACCGCCAGCGCCTGTGTCCATGGCACCCCCTTGCCCCAGCTGTCTGGGTTATTTTGGGCTCCCTCCTGTGCCAGCTGTCTGCTGGCATCACTGCTGGGAGCAGGGAGAGCAGTCTGGTTGAAAGTAATCCGTGTGGTGCACTTGGCTCCTCCTGGCTACCATGCCTCTCCAGTCCCAGATAAACCGGGCCGGGTCCACCTTGTCCTTCGCTGGGGACCAGGGGTGCACCCCGCCACACCTGCACCCGTCTCTTACCTGGCATGAGGGGAGGGGAAAGCTCTTTGTAAAAGTTGATGAACTTACACCCCCCCCCCCCCCCCAGAACTCCGGGTTAAAATAAGGTCAGCTCCTTAATGAACTCAAACCTCAAAAAAGGTTCAGCCGCCTGAGGGTGGGCTGTGTCCCTTAAGATAGAGCCCCGAGGCTGGTGGGGGGGAGGGGTCTTTTACCTGCTG